CGAGGTCTGGGCCGCCTTCGCCTCGGCGCCTTCGCCTCGTTTTCGGGCCCTTCGGCCATTGCAGATCGAGCTGGCTCGAGACAACTGCCGCAGGAGGATGGGGTCCCGGGCTCCGGTCGCGTCAAGCAGTGGCGAAGCGCCTTGGCTCGTCTACGGACCCGCCAGAGAATGTTCCAAGAACCCTTCGCGGTCTGCACGGAGTCTTCTCAGAACCTTTCTGGCCGAGGCCGTCTTGCTCTGACACGTCGGGGTCGTGTCCTGAAGAACACTGTTGGGGGTTCCGAAAACGTTTTGGGGCTGTGAGGACATCCCGCGGTGGGCCCCATGGGGATGGCGGGACGGTCGGTCCCTGGGTCCCTGCTTCCTCCTCCTCCTCCTCCTCCTCCCTCACCTCCGCTCCTTCCTCCTACTCCCCCTTCTCCTCCTCCTCCTACCTCCTCCTCCTTCCTCCTCCTCCTCCTCCTCCTCTCCTCCCTACCTCCTCTCCTCCTCCTCCTCCTCCCCTCCCCCCTCTTCCCCTCTCCTCCTCTCTCCCAACTCCTCCCCCTCCTTCCTGCCTCCTCCTCCTCATCCTCTTCCTCCTTCTATCCTACCTCCCTTCCTCCTCCTCCTCCATCCTCTCCTCCTCCTCCCTCCCCCTCCTCTCCTCTCTCCTCTTTCCTCTCTCCTCCTCCTCCTCCCTCCTACATCCTCCTCCCTCTCCTTTCCTCCTCCTCCTCCTCCTTCCTCCTCCTCCTCCTTCCTCCTCCTCCTCCTCATCATCCTCTTCCTCCCCTCCTCTCCTCCTCCTCCATCCTCCCCATCCTACTGCCCTCCTCTCCCTCCCCCTCTCCTCCTCCTCTCCTCTCCTCGTCCTCCTCTCCTCTCCTCCTCCCCCCTCCTCTCACCTAACTCCTCATCCCCCTCCTCTCTCCTCTCCTCCTCCTCCTCCTCCTCCTCCTCCTCCTCCTGATCCTTTCTGTTCGCAGCGCTGTTTTTTTTTGTTGTTCGGCAGCAGCGCCGGACCTCGGGGAAGCTCGGAGGCCGTCGGCGGCCCCGCGTGGGCCGACCTCGAGAGCGACCTGCGCCGCCACTCTCAGTGGACGGCCGCGAGCGTTCGAGTCCAGGGGCAGCGACGAGGGGGGGGGAAGGGGCACAGGGGTTCAGTCGGGCCTGTCCCTTCACAGGGGGGATGGGGGATATTCACAGATAGTTAAGAAAATAGTCCGAGGATTATGTTTGGACGCTTTTTGGATTCTTTTTGGCAATTTGGGAAACTTTTTTGAATATTTTTATTTTTCGCTTTAAATTCCCCTGTAAGGAGACAGGCCCGACCTAACACGGGGGGGGGGGGGGGGGCAACGACCTCCGATCGTAAATGGATCGCCGAAGGGGCACAGGGGGGGGGATGCCTGGGCCTCCAAACGCCCATGGGTCGCCGGCAGGGGCCGATGGCCCCAGCCTGCCTGGGAAGGTGCGGGTTTACCATCGGAGGCCATCGCCGATCGATCGGCGACGTCTCGCCGATTCCAGGTCGATGCATCCCCCCCCATATGCCAGTCCCCCCCTGGCGTTAAGTCAGGCCTGTCCCTCTAGAGGAGGAAAATTTAGAAACAGTTGAAACATAGTCAGCGGACGATGTTTTGACCATTTGCGACTATGTTTGGGCATGTTTGGAGTATTTTTAGATTTTTCTTCCAACCTCCGCCTGTAGGAGGACATGCCCGACCCAACCCTAGCGATGTCCCCTCATCAAGGCTGAGCGATGCGCCCTGAAGCGAAGACCGGCCACCCCGACTTGGTCATCCCATGAAGAGTCCGTTGAACGCTCTTTTATTGCTTTGCCGTTGTTTGCCTGTAATTCGTCAGCCATGTCTCGGAGCAGCCGCTTCGGATAAGAAGTGCGAGAAGCTGCAAGTGAGCACTCCAGCTTGGCCAACTCGAGCCTGGCGTTGACAAACAACAACAACAAAAATCCAGGCTGAGCGATGCACGCGGTGTCAGAGTCCAGCGGCGACGTCGCCAGGGCGCGAGCCTGCCGTAGCGACGCGAGGCCCGGCCAGGCCACCCCTCCTGGGCACCGGACGGAGGATCGATCCCCATACTAGGGGAAAGAACACACAGACACAATGAATCGTCGATTCCCCAGGGAAACATGGGAAGATATGGGAAGTGGCGGGGATATCAGAAACCAAGAAAAGATGGGAAAAGGTAGGGAATCCTGTTATTTGTGTGTACTTATTTGTGTGTCCCAGGGCCCCTTCAATATCAACGACCCAGGCCGGCGACCCGGCGGCGAGCGATGGGGGAAGTTTCGGGTTCGAGGTTCGAGGTTTTTGGACGTGTTCGTCGGTTCTCGGCGGTGTTCCAGCTTCGGGATGCTTGCCAGCAGCTGCGCCTCGCCGAGGGGGTTCCGGGGGTGCCTGGATCGTCCCGAACGGCCGCCAGGGACCCGAATCATGACCCCCAAACCGCACTCGGCAGCGAACGAGGGGAGAAGTGAGAGGGAGAGGGCCTTCTCAGAAGGCGGCGGGACTTCTCAGACGCCCTTCCGCCTCCTGAGAGGTTGTCTGCGTCTCCAGATTGGGCTCAGATCACTTCTCCGAAGGCTGGGGGAGGACTTCCAGGCCTTCCAAGAGGGGGGCCTGCCCTTTCTCGCTTGCCCCCCTCGCTCGCTACCGAGCGACATCAAGACTTTTTCAGAACGGGGTCCCCAGAAGTCCTGGTCCTTTCCCTGGGACCGTCTTCTCATCCCGAGTCGTTGTTTATACCTGTCTCGGGGCCCGGCACGGGCCCCTGGAGGCCCAAAACCCAAAACGGCCAGAAACCTCCTCCTCCTCCTCCTCCTCCTCCTCCTCCTCTTCCTCCTCTTCCTCCTCCTCCTCCTCCTCCTCCTCCTCGTCTTCCTCCTCCTCCTCCTCCTCCTGTTCCTCCTTATCCTCCTCCCTCTCCTAGATATGGTAGTGGTGGTGGAAAATCGGCCCATCACTGTTTGTTCCAGGACGCGAGCATGTCCAGGGAGGGGTCCTGGAGTCCTGCCTGGAGGGGGGGGGAGTCGGGGAGGTCTTTGCCCGGCGGGGCGGAGGCCCTCCCCACGCCGCGGTGCCGTCGAACAGCGGCGCGGGACGGAGAGCTGTGCTCGGGGGCGGCCAGGAGCCCGGTGGTGGCCAGGGGGGGGGGCCCTGACCTTCCAGAGTGCTTAAAAATTAGCCCTCCAGACCTCGAGACCTATCTGGGCTGCCTAAAACCTCGGCCGGGATAAAGATGTCGAGGTCCTGGTGCTATTTTTTAGCCCTCCTCGAAGGTCAGAGTTGGGGGAGCCCACCTCTGAGTTTCGGACGCCCCTGCTGCTCCCGAGGCGCGCCAGTTGTGGGCGGCCCGTCTCCGCCGGGAGGCCCCCCCGTGTCCCAGGGGGGTTCTATAGTTAGGTCGGGCATGTCTTCCCACATGCGGGGCCGGAAGGATTTAAAAATAGTGAAAACATATGCAAAAATTAGTCAAACGTAGTCGAAAGCTCGTCCCCATACTATTTTTTGGGACCATCTTTGAAATCTTCCTCTTCCTCCTGACTAGGGACACGCCCGACTTCAGATTATCGGGCATATTTGGGGTGGGCCGACCCTCCGCGACTCGCCCACTGAGTCCAGCCTCAGGAAAGAGAGTTCAACTCGCCGATGCATCGGCGATGCGGCCCGACCCTCTGACTCCATCTGCTCTATCGGGCCCAGTCCGGGAGGCATCTGGAGGCCCGGAGCGGATAGGCCGATCCGCCTTGGAGCGGAGCTGGGGATTCGCCGCTCGCCCCCTCCCCGTGCACCGCCGCTCGGCCCCCGGGGAGCCCTCGCCGTGCACGGCTGGGAGTCGCCTCGGCATCCTGGCTATAGAGCGCGCCCCGGGAGAGGTGCGGGGAGCAGCGGCATCGGCACGTCTGCATTTGGTGTACGTCGGGCCTGTCCTCCTCCTCCTCCTCCTCCTCCTCCTCCTCCTCCTCCTCCTCCTCCTCATTTGGTGTACAGGAGGAGTATGTGAAGCCTCATGGCCACTCGGGGGCGGCCTCGAGCGGCCTCGCCGCCCACCGCCCGAACAGAGCCGCGTCGAGTCCACCGCTCCGGGGTCGGGCCCAGGGAACCTCGAGGACCTCCAGGAGCCTGTTTTCCTTTGGATTCGGGCAAGTTTACTTGCATGGACGGGGGGGGGGGCTGAGTCTGAAGCAAGCCGAAAACCATTCGACGTGCGGAAATCACGCAAGTCGAAAGGCACTTGCACGCTCGTGTTCGATTGAAGAGGGGCGAGGGGGGGGGGGGGGGGGCGAACGCCATGCAAGTAAGCTTGCCTGGATATAAAGAAAAACAAGCTCCAGGGGCGGTGGACAGGGATGCCCCCCCCGCCCGTGAGGGCGGCAGACTACCCACATCCACCGCTCGCTCCCCTCGGATCCAGGCAGGATTCCAGCGGGTGTGGATGTGGACGTCTTCTGGCGGCGCATCGCCGGAGGCCTCCGGAGGCCTCCGGAGACTCGAGGCCTCGGGGAACTCCCGCGGGGGCTCCAGAAGGCTCCAGCCAGCAGGGCACGCAACGCCTTCCGATCTGGGCTCGTAGCCACCCTGACCTTCCAGGAGGGCTAACAAAAATAGCACCAGGACCTCGATAGCTTAATTCATGGCGAGGTTTAGCCCAGATAGGTCTTTAGGTCTGGAGGGCTAATTTTTAGCACTCTGGAAGGTCAGGGCAGGAAGCCATGCGGCACAGAGTTCGGGCCCAACGTCGGTGCTGGTTCACAGTGGGCCCCCGTCCCCTGTCTGCTGGGATCACTGCGGGGTTTGCCGAGGAGGCAGGATGGCGGTACCTGTGGATGGTAACGTTGATTATCTTTGGCCCGCCTCAGCTTGCAATTGGCCAGAAGTGCCCCCAGTGGTTTCAAGGGGCGAAGATCCAGGCCAAGTGGGCTCAGCCCACTTACCGGAGTTATCTACCCCTGTGAGCCTCTCAGGACGCTGTGCATCCCGCTTCTAGCATCATGTCGTGCCAGGCACGACCCCACCTCAGCACCCACGCATAACCCCCCTGCCCCCTCCCCAACCCCCCCGACGCCGTCCAGACCCGTTCCCCGGGACCGGTTTTGTTCATCCTGCATCGTTTCTTGACGGCCCCGAGGGCCAGGCAGGGCCCCCCGAGCCCGAAAAAACAGCGAGAACCCCCCCGTCGTGTGTTCTTCCATGACTCGCGGGGACTGGGTCGGCTTCCCCCCCCGCGGCGCTCCAGGCAGCTGGCGGCCTCCCTCCGTCTGACTCGGGCGCGCCATGCCTCCGGCGAACATGTTCGCCTTCGTGCAGTCGCGGCGCCGCGGGGGCCCGCGGTCGAGGCTCCGGGAGTCCCAGCTGAAGATGCTGCGGCTGGAGCGGCGCTGGTCCTTCCCCGGGGCCATCCCGCGCGGCTGCCGGTCGGTGAAGGACGTCGTGCCCCTGACCCGAGACGCCTTCTGCGTGGTCATGAGCAGCGGCCGCGCCGACGCGTTCGCGTCGTCGGCGCCCGTTGCCCGCGGGCAGGCCCGCCCTGCGGGCCACGAGCTGGTGTGGCTCGCGAGCCTCAGCCTGTTCGACGGGGAGAGGGTGCCTGCCGGCCTGCAACGTGTCCTGGAGGGGTCTGAGGCGGTCCAGCAGTGGCTCCGGCCAGCAGGAAGGGCGGTCAGGTTCGGGGCTCTGGGTTCGAGAAGGTGTTTCTTTGTTCTGCCTCTTGGGGGGGGCCGTTTTCAGGCCCCGGGAATGTGAGAAGCGAATCAGGGGTGAAAAAGTGAACCAATCGATGAGCCGCAGGAGGGGTCCAGAGACAGATTTTTTGAGCAGATCTGGCCCCACATCCACCCCCCCCTCCGGACCGATTTGCTGGATCCCAACCAGTTCAGATCGCCGGGACGCCTCCAAAGGCTCAAAACTCCTCCTTTTCCTCCTAGCTCCTCCTCCTTCTTCTCCTCCTCCTCCTCCTCCTCCTCCTGCCCTCCCTCCCGCCCTCCCTGCCTACCGCCCTCACTCCCCCAGTTCAGACCGCCTTACTTACCAGCCTGCAACGTATCCGTGCCCCTATGGTTGGCACCACTTTACATCGGCCCAACGAAAGTTCCCTGAATTTTGCCACGACGGTCACCAGCAGAAGTCGACAGAAGTAGAAAGAGGCGTAAGGCATACAGAAAACAGCGGAGGTCATTGACGTCCGCGGAAGTCGACGGAATTAGAACGAGGTGGAAGACGGTGGAAGGCTTACATTATACAGCAGAAGTAGATGACGTTCCTTCCGAACCCCCTACCCCCGTAGAAGCCTAGCAATGTAGTCTTCTGCCAGGGCCGGGCGGGATCCCGTCCAGCTTAGTCCCCTTTGTTATAAGTTTAGTTCAGCCTGGTCAAAATCCCACCCATCAAAATAAAAAAACAACATCCCAGGTCGTTCACGGATCCCGCCATGCTGGGATCGGCTCGGCGAACGATGGGGTCCATAAGTTCAAGGATTCTTGCTGCGTTGTGGCCGTCTTGATGCTATCTTCAGACGATGCGGGGTCCTCTCATGGTCAGCTCCGGATCTCCTGGAGGTCATCGTCGGTGGTCGGAGGTCCCAGTGATACCATTCTGGGGCTAGGCCGGCATACGGTCATTGCGCGCACTTGCGAGCACTTCTCCGGGGGACTTTCCAGGGGGATGTTTGCTGGAGCCGCGCGTCTCGATACCGATCGTGGGGGCCCCCTCGGCTTCCGAGGAGACCCTTCCCTGAGATCGTCACCACCTTCAGGCCTGGCACCCGTGGGGGCAGGGATGCGCTCCAGGCTGGTCAGAGGTGCGGCTCGTCGCGAGGGTCCGCCCCAGCGGCTCTGTGCTGGTGGTCTTCGCGCAGACCGCGCGCAGCGAGAGCCGCGAGCGCAGGGGCACCCTCTACGCGAGGGTCCTCGACCTGCCGGCGCTGCTCCTCGGGGTGGCCCAGGTCCCCAGAGGTCAAGCAATGAGGAAGCGTCCCGGCTCGCCTATAGCCCTACCAGACACTGCTCTAAGAACCTTTCGCGGTTCCCACGAAAGTCACTTAGAACATTTCTGGCGGAGTCTGTCTTGTTTGAACACATCGGGCTTATGTTCTAAGAACATTGTTTTTGTTCTTAGAACATTTTGGGGTTCTAAGAACATTTCGTGGTAGGACTACAGGAATGCCGGGACGGTCGGTCCCTGCTCGACTCCTCTCGTCCTGGCCTTCGTGGGCCTCCCGGCAGGCCCCTCGCGGGCCTCCCGCTGGACTCGGCCCGACGCTCTGGTCGGGACGCACCCCGGGGGGAGGTCTGGGGCTAAGTCGGGCCTGTCCCCCTACAGGGGGATTTTCGACGAAAAACAAAGAAGATCCCAAAAATAATCAAACAATAGTCAACAACATAGTCTGGGGACTCTTTTTTGAGTATGTTTTGACCTTCTTGGGGCATTTTGGGAGTATTTTTTATTTTTCGTCGAGAGTCCCCCTGTAGGGGGACACGCCCGACATAAGTCTGGGGAGTGGCGGTGTTGGTACCTTTTGGTTTCCCCAGGTTCGTGATGCCGGCACGTTGGCGGCCGTCTCCGTTCCCGTGGGGGGCTTCATCGAGTGTGACGAGCAGAACGGGTGCATCTGGGCGAACGACTGTCAGGTCCTGCGGTGCTGGGATTCGCAGACCTTCGAGCAACGCTTCGAGCTGGGACCTTGGTCGCCGGAATACGCCCCGAACGTGCGCTTCACCGCTGGCATGGTTGCGCTGATGCGATCGTCTCACGGCGGTGTTGAGGTCGACCTGCATGACGCTTCGTCTGGCAACCTCCTTTCGAGGAAGCTGGTGGACTGCAGGCCCTACGCTGAGAAGTTTGCCTTTCTTGAGCTGCTGAACGAGTTTGCGCTGATGAAGCGCGCTAACACAGATGTGCTCATTGCTGACCTCCTCGGAGACAAGGGCGCGTGCTTGATACCGGACTCGAGTGGCTGGGAGCCCGAGCTGTTCGTGTTCATCCCGTCTCGTGGCCTCATCCTGGCGCGGTTCGCCAGATCCCTGGAGATCTGGCGATGCGTGCGGCCAGGAACGTGCTGCCAGGTGGGCGTGGTCGAGCGAGTAATGGACTTCGGCGCGCACCGCTTCAGCATCGACGAGCGCCTGGGCCTGGCGCTCGTTGTCCAGTCGAGCCGGCCGCATGCTCAGGCTCATGCTCTGGAGGCAACTCCCGGGAGGTGCCTTCAGCATCGGCGCTGGCACAGCCGTGGTCGAACACCGGCCCGCGTCCGGCCTGGTCCGGCTTCAGCTGGTGGAGCCCCGCCCACAGCCCTCGGCATCGCTCCCGCGAGCCGCGGACGGCTCGTGCGTGCACTGGGCCGCGGTGGCGTCTCCCGAGGCGTCGTCGGTCCTCCACCCAGGAGCGGTGCGGTGCACGGCTGCGCCTCCCTCGGAGCCGCAGAGCTGCGCACCTCGAGTGCCGCGCCGGAGCGGGGCCCGAAGGGGCTCCAGGCAGGGTGCAGTGCAGCTGCGTCGTTCTCCGAAGGCGACAGAACGGCATACTGGTTGCTCGTTGTGAGGACCCTCCTGGGGCCCACCGAACGGCTCTGTTCGACCCCAGTTCGACTCAAGTTCGACTCAAGTTCGACTCAGACTCGACTCCAGGTTGGTTTCAAATCATGGGAGCCTTGTGTACCCTCGTAACCTTGTCTTTAGAGTGCACCAGCGGCGACTAGCGCCCGGTAGTTGATGACTCAGCGTCAAAGTAGCATCGATTAGCGTTGTTTAGCGTCGATTTAGCGTCGACGAGCGTCGATTAGCGTCGATTCGCAAGAGCTAATAAGAGGGTATGGGAGGCTCCCATAAGGTGCCACCGACGCATAAACATACATTTTCGGAGGTCCACGCTGATTCCTTGTATCGGCGCTGGACCAGCGTCTGGCGCGCGGAGCGAGCCAGGGGCAGCGCCGGAGGCGCCGCCAAGGGGGCCCAGCGCCGATCCGGGAAACCCGCGCGGAGCGCCGAAAGAGTATGCCTCCTTCGTTCTCGCATACGGGGGCAGAGGCCCGGTCAAACCAAAAAAAGGGTGGCCAGTGAACGGGCGGGGCACGATCTGGAAAAGAGGCAGTTCGACCTGCGTGCATGATGCGAAAAGCGCGCGACGGGTGAGCGATTGCACGGCGTGCACCTACGAAGGCCTCCCCAGGGAGAGGGAGGGGGAGGGGAGAGGAGGTTGTAATACTGGACGGGCCTGCCTCGGGAGATGCAGGTGCGACAAGTGAGGGGCGACTGGAGGAGGAGGAGGAGGAGGAGGAGCGGAGGAGGAGGAGGAGGAGGAGGAGGAGGAGGAGGAGGAGGAGGAGGAGGAGGAGGAGAGGATGAGGAGAGGAGGAGGAGAGGAGGAGGAGGAGGAGGAGGAGGGGGAGGGGGAGGAGGAGGAGGAGGAGGCAGAGGAGGAGGATGAGGAGGAGGAGGAGGAGGACGGAGGAGGAGGAGGAGGAGGCAGGAGGAGGAGGAGGCAGGAGGAGGGAGGAGGCGCGCGTGTACGAAGGCCTCCCAGGCATTCTGGCTCCCCGAGGCTCTCTCCCCGCTGGGCTCGCGGCACTCGCAGGCCGAGGGCCCGAGCGAGCCGCCGCCCAGCCGCGGCGGCACCGAGGCCGAGGCGGGCGACGACCTCGCCCTGCTGGACCTGGTGCGCTTCGGGGGGCTGCGCGCGGCGCTGCACGGGGTCTGCGCGGGAGCTCGCGGACGACATTCGTCACGACGGGCTTTGTTGGTTTTCCACCATGTTCGGCCTCTCGTGGCCCTTGCTGGCCCTCGGGGGCCGTCCCCCCGAACAAACGGCGCAGGAGGAACGAGCCACTCAGGATGCACAGAGTCATGACGTCGGGGGCCGGGTCGCTCGTGGGCGAAGAACATCGCCGCATCCGCGGCCTCGCGGGCCGGGCCCCTCAGCCGCGATCCCGCGCACACTGGGTACGCGCGGAACGCATCTGTGAGACAGCGTATCCGCGAGGTCGCGCCCCAGAGTCCATCGGCGGCGTGCGAGGGGGTGAAGTGGGTAGGAGAAGGCCTTCTCAGAAGTGATGGGCCTGTTTTCCACCCTCCTCCTCCTCCTCCTCCTCCTCCAACTTCAACTGATGGGGGTGGTGGTGGAAAACAGGCCCACCAAGAAGGCTCGGAAGTCCCCCGGCCTTCCGAGAAGTTTTTTGAGCCTTCCCCGAAGGCAGAACAACAACTTCTCAGCAGGCGCGAGGGGGCTTTCGAGAAGTCCCGCCGCCTTCTGAGAAGGCCCTCTCCTCACTCGCTCGCCGCCAGATCCAGACCGCGAGGGCGAGGATGCGACGGTGACCCGCCGCTCTCACGTCACGAGGAGCTGGCGGCGGCGGCGTCGCGCACGTGGCGTTCAGCCTCGCCGATGGCCCTCGCAGGAGGAGGAGGAGGAGGAGGAGGAGGAGGAGGAGGAGGAGGAGGAGGAGGAGGAGGAGGAGGAGGGAGGAGGTAGGAGGAGGAGGAGGAGGAGGAGGAGGAGGAGGAGGAGGAGGAGGAGGAGGAGGAGGAGGAGGAGGAGGAGGAGGAGGAGGGGGAAGAGAAGGAGGGCGAGGAGGGGAGGAGGAG